GCTTCTGTCCAGAGGTTAGAGGGGAAGGCAGAGAGAGTTAGGAGCTGGTTGAATGTTCATGGGGAATCAGTGGCAGAGGGGAGGAGTGTGCTGTCACAGAATGGGGTGAGCGGTTGGGGTCTCATAACAATGTATGTTAAAAAAAAAAAGTAATAATTTTCCAATTGCCGTAGAGTCAATTCTGACTCATGATAACCCCGCGTGTACAGGAGTAGAACTGTGCTCCACAGGGTTTTCATTGGCTGATTTTTCAAAAGTAGATAGCCAGGCCTTTCTTCTGAAGTGCCTCTGGGTGAACTCCAACTGCCAACCTTTCAGTTAGCAGTGGAGCATGTTAACTGTTTGTACCACCAAGACATTCCAATTAAAAATTACTTCCTGCCTTTTTATGCCAATTCTCCAGTAAAGAAAGTTCTTCTCAGAACCAAAAATATAGCCCCCCTCCAAAAAAATTTTTTTTCTTTAGGAAAATGGTGGCACAATTGATATCCAGAAGGCAAGAATGCACCCACCTGGAATGGAAAGAGACTATTCCCTGAGCTAACTCTGAACTTTATATACCATGCTAAGTTCTTTTCAGATAGTGTCTTATTTAGTTAAGCTACTTGCCAAGTGTCATGGATTGAATCGTGTCCCCCAAAAAATGTGTGTAGCAACTTGGCTAGGTCATGATTCCTAGTATTGTATGACTGTGTTATCTGATGTGATTTCCTTATGTGTTGTAAACTCTACCACTATGATGAGATTATATGTGATCTCCTCATGTGTTGTAAATTCTATCACTGTGATAAGGTTATACTGATGAGGCTGACAAGATCAGTGTCTTAATGCAATCTCTTTTGAGATATAAAAGAGAGAAGCGAGCAGAAACACATGGGAACCTCACACCACCAAGAAAGCAGTGCTGGGAGCACAGCGCATCCTTTGGACCTGAGGTTCCTGTGCTGAGATGCTCCCAGACCAAGGAAAGACTGAGGCATCAAAAGGACCTTTCTCTAGAGCCAACAGAGAGAGAGAGACTCTTCCTGGAGCTGATGCCCTGAATTTGGACTTGTAGCCTACTGGACTGTGAGGACAATAAATTTCTCTCTGTTAAAACCATCCACTTGTGGTACTTCTGTTAGAGCAGCACTAGATGACTGAGACACCAAGGGTCACAAAGCTAGTAAGTACTGAGCCAGTAATTAAATACCACATCTCTCCCAAATTTATCCTGTTATTTCAGTCCTTCTCCACCAGTAATGGTCACTGAACCAGGAAAACTTTCCTTCTGGACTAAGTGAAAATCACAAATTTATGCAAGTTTTCTAATGTGCATTCTAATGAGACCCTGAATCTGAGACTTTATCACACCATCACAGTGACAACAGAGTGCAGGCTAAGGAAATGTCTTCCTGAATCTTAGCACCAACAAAACAATATTTAATACAGTATTAACAAATATGTGCCTACCTTGCAAAAATTTAAAAACTAAATGTGGCAAGCTGAATAAGTCTACCCATTCATTTACTGATCCATCTATTCATACATTATTTAAATATTAAAAGGGGTCCTAAGGAATCCATGCTGTTTGGAATGTTTGACATTCTTTCACAGTAAAAAGCTATGCTTACCAGTTTGTTTGGGTATCTCAGGAGTATTGGCTGCACTGGAACACCAGGAATGAAGGCTCCTATAACCACAATGACATTTTATGACATGTTGTTTATTCTAATAACAGTTATACAGTAAAGAAAAAAATGGTATAAATATATTGGATATTTTAAGAGTACAAGAAACTACTTGCTAAATGTTAGTAAATTCTTAGCATTTACCAAAATAAGGGATTTTTAAAATTCAGAATTATTTAAGGAAAATATTAAATGCTGTGCCTGTGTCACTTAAAATATTTACTTATACCACCACTTGTTTTCACTTTCCAAATACCTATGTTCAATAGGATAAAAAAAAGGGAGGGAAGATGATAAAATCAAGGCAAAGAGAAAACAAGGAGAAGAAAATCTGGAGGAAAGCAAATGCTTGAAGCAAGGACTACCACACCTGCTAGAAGTGAGTCATACCCTTGGCTCTGAGCATTCTAGCAGCCAACACAAAAAAAAAATTTTAAAATACAACAAATTACTATGAAAGCTGCATTCAAGACTTCATAATGTTATAAAACGAGTGAACCTTACAAGGCATTTCAAGACATTATAAAGGTAATGAAATAGGTTTTCTACTTGGTGACATAGGACCCCAGGGGTCTCTGAAGATATCCTTCAAGGAAAAAAAAAATCTGTCAGTGGTTTTTGCTCCCCACAACCCTCCCCCACCCCCACATACATAAAAAGAGAGAACACTACAGGGAACATGAGGTTAGGATACCAAAAGAGAAAGTAAAGGAGTAAGTTCCATGGTTTCACAACATTAAAAACTTTTTCTCAGAACAGAAATGCTCAGAGCAACCTAAAGAGTTATTTTGTGTATTACTAAGAAATCTCCCATACTGGTGGTGTCACAATAGATAATTTAATTTATCTCACCTGGTTTAAAAGTAATCAAACAGGAACGATTAGTACAAGTACCTTCTGGGAAAACTAGTATCTTGGGAGAAAAGGAATAGATTTAATATTTCAGTCTAAGTAACAGATAACCTCTTTACTCCCTTTCTTATGACTTTACAAATAGCTGCTAAGTCTTAAAAAAACAAGTAAAAATGTAACAAAAGAGTAACACTTGATACTAACGAAAGCTAGAACTGTTATTAATTTTTCCTATAAAAGAGATGTAGTCTGACTAAGAAGATAATTAGAAAATGAATTTAAGCTTTGAATAGAGATATACTTGTTTCTTTTTCTTAATATATTTTGTTGTTGTTGAGAATATACACAGCAAAACATACACCAATTCAACAGTTTCTACATGTACAGATTAGTTACATTCTTCTAGTAGTGTAACCATTCTCACCCTCCTTTTCTGAGTTCTTCTTCCTTCATTAACATAAACTTTACTGCCCCCAAGGTTCCTATTTAATCTTTCGAGTTGCTGTTGTCAGTTTGATCCCACATAAATAGTTCTTGAAAAGAGCATAATTTTCAAGGCAGACCCTTTTTACTAGTTAAGCTAAACAAACTATTGTTCGGTTTTAAGAAGACTTCAGGAGATATTTTTGGTTTAAGGTTTAAAGATTATCTCAGGGCAATAGTTTTGGAATTCATCCACTCTCCAAGGCTCCAGAAAGTCTAGAGTCCATGAGAGTTTGAAATTGTGTTCTGTATTTTCCCCTTTTTGATCAGGATTCTTCTCTAGAATCTTTGATCAAATGTTCAATAATGGTAGCTGGGCAAGATCCAGTTCTTCTGATCTCATGGCAAAGGAGGCAGTTGTTCATGGAGGCAATTAGCCACACATTCCATATCCTCCTCCTGTTCCTGACTCTCCTTCTTCCTCTGTTGTTCCAGGTAAACAGAGACCAATTGTTGTACCTTGGATGGCTGCCTGCAAGCTTTTAAGCCCTCAGGCACTACCCAACGAACTAGGAGGTAGAACAGAAGTACTACACACATTACTAGGCCAATTAACTGGGATGTCCCGTGAAACCATGTATACTTGTTTCTTAATGATGATACTAATGATCCATAAAAACTTTAAAGAAGATGGATACCTTAAGCCATGGTCAAGGTGTACATTAAGCTATACTGAATCCTTCTGCTGCTATACATTCTTAACCAAATCACTTCCTACATCTTTGCTTCAGTTTTCCCATTAAATGATATTCACTCCCACAAGATATAGTTTAGAGATATCTTGAGGACAAAGGAGGAAACGCTTACAATTTGCTTTATGCTTACTTGAACTAGTTGACTTATGGAATATAACTTAGTATCTTTTTGAGGGAGTGTGTTTAACTTTTAATGTACTTCCTATGTTTTCCATGTGAAAGATATGCAGTACAGTTAGTTTCTCCAATAACTGAATAAAATAGCAGCTGGAGTTTCTGAAGCTTTTAGAAATCAGCAGTGAGTAAATTAATAAGTATATAAAATTAAAAAATAAAACCCCTGCACTCACAGCAGTTAGTAATCTGTATTTTATAATAGAGAGGAAAAAAATTATTAGGCTAGATTGTCACAGTAACAGGTTAGTTGTAAAATAAAAATTATGACTAGGTATAATTCCAATCTCTAATTATAAAAAAAAAATTATGAGTTTATATGACAATAGGATATAATATCAAATATTACTCATTCAATGGAAAGTCTATAAGTATACTATTTACAATGAATGTATATAGATGGAATCATAAAATCTCAGAGCTGGTAGGGGCATTAAAAATCACATAGCATCTCTAATGCTTGAATTCTTTCTACAATATCCCCCCCAAGTGGTTGCTTAGCCAATGCCTGAAAATTCCAGAAAAGGAATCCAAAGCAGACCATTCTACCTCTGAACAGAAAGTTCTTCCTCAAAATGAGTAAAATGAGTTGTAATCTGTGTACTTGTTACCTACCACCTACCACTCCTAAATATAGTCCTTGGATACAAAGAGAAAAATAAAAAAAAAAGCCAGCTCTTTGCAATCATTTCTCACATGCCTTGGTTTCTAAAACCTCCTGGTTGGTCATACTCCTCTCCTCTTGTTAGTTTACCAACTATGTCTCATCGTGAGTGGCCAGATCGTGGCAAGGCCATTCGTTCTGCTAGCGATCAATACGGCAAAGATAGAGAGATGCTTATCAGAATTACCCATGAGGCTTTCTTTATGCAATAAGTGCTATCCCTCCTGCACCCTTAAAATTTTAGGTCATTCTGGGGGAAGGAGGGTGGCGAGATACAGTTTGAAAATGTTCTACAGGTGATTTTGACATACCCCTGAATTGGAAAGCACTATCTAAATATACTTTAGATAAGATCAAAGATCCTAATCATTTTTTCAGTAAACCCACCATACTGTTGAGGATAATTGTTAGTATCTCATCTTTAAAATGGTAGTTTGATGCAAAGTAGAGAATTCTTTTATATGATATAAAGTAAAAAGTGGTTCAGAGTTGGGAGAATAAAAAAGAATGATATATATATATATATGTCCATGGAGTATCACATGGCAAAGAGGACTTCTTAGTACTCACTACTTCATTTATTCTGCATTTATTATGCTAAAGACACCTGGAGTAAGTGTCTGATATATTGCTATCTCTGGATCCAAGTAAGTACATTTACAAAGTTACAATAATAAACTGTCAGTATATTTAAATGAACATCTACTGTGTTTTACCTGGGGCCATTCCCCTCTTGATGTTGCTCGCTTTATTATTTCATTTATTGTGGTTTTTCGTGAATCTGGATCGACACGGGAGACCAACACTGGTTGCACAGCCCGTAATAGTCCTTTAAAGCAAACAAAAAGTCACAACCAAGCAATTTATTTTTTTTTTTTGGCTAAAGCTACCAGGGCAATGATACTGCTGAAACCATAAAACCAATTTTATGGGAAGTTAAAATGACAGCATATCAAAGAAAGCAACTTAAAAAAAAAAAAAAACACAAAACCTCCAATTCAAAGTTCATTAGAACTTAGTTTTTAGTTTCCAAAGGAGAGGGTGAATATTTATACCTAAAAACATTCCATTGATTTAACAGAAGTAAGCAACAAGAACACAAAAAGAAGCAAGTGCAGTTTCCTCCCTCAAAATTTTCCTCTCAAATTTCCATTAAACCTTTGGAATAGATGACAACGTTATCTTGTTTTATTATAGCAACAGCCTGAAAACTGATTATATTAATTCACAGTACAGATACTATAGGGAGAAATTATAATTCATTTTAGTAACATCTTCAGCACAGCATCCTTCTAAATAGGTAGCTTCCTAGCACAAACAAAAAAAGCCTCGATTTACCAAAAATGTATTGCTACACCACATTTCAGGAAATAGCCATATTACACAAAACAAGGTAGTTACGTTTCTTGTTTTTGTTTAAGTGTCTTTCTTAGCTGAATGACAAAGCTGCAGGAACTAACACTATTTTTTCAGAGCACCAAGGCAACATCAGGGAGCCTTCACAGCCACTCTCTCATCACTTGATGTTTGCAATAACCTTGGGACAACCAGGAGCAGTTACTTGGAGACTAGTACCTTAGGGAGAGACCAAAGCATCTGGTGGGGAAAACATTTCACTTGCTTCATTATGTTTTTTGGCAGGAAGCACTTATTGTTCCACATCATAATTTTCAAAGAGTTACATACTAATTCCTCATGGAGATTTTGGGGCAGTAATGAAGAAAACAGAGTTAGGAGAAAAGACATAGTGTCTTTATCAGCCTAATACCCTGAAAAGAAATTTATGAGGCAGCATGTAAACTGGGTTTTTTTTCACAAATTCTTTGGTTAAATTTTCTCTCAAAAAAATCAAGGATGTTTGGCATTTGAAAACTGTCTTTCTGGTCACATATAAGAAAAGAAAGACATGATGGTACAGACATAAAGATAAGTTTTAAGAAGAATTATAAGGAGACAGGGAATTTTCTAATCTTTTTTCATAAATTCATTCTTTCTATATAGTATCCTCATGAAAAACAGGAAATGCGTTTTAAATGTTGTATTATTTTAAAATTTCTTAACAAGACTACCAATAAACAAGACATGATTTTGAAATTTAAAGTGTGAGCATGAAAATACTTTATCTATGTTACCTTACAAGTACTTACTGCCCATCAGAGGCACTTGTGCATTCTCATTTCTTGATACCATAGAAGGTAACCCAGCTATGACACAGGCAATTCCATCAAAGAAGGTTGAATGAGGGGCAACAACAAAAATTGGTGCTTCCAAAGGACTTGCAATCTTTCCTTTCACGGTAACTATAAATCCCATTGAGAAGAACAAGGCACGACCCAGAAACTTCAAAGCTGGTTCAGTAACTTTCCTTTGAAAATAAGTATTAAAAAGACATAATTAGCTTTGCTTACTGAAGCTAACAACAGGGATTTACTCTAAAATATAAGAAGAAAACCAGAACATTTTATTATAAAATATGCTCTAAGAAGAACAGCTAACACTTACATGGAGCTCTTTCTTCCAGGCATTGTTCTGAGTTTTATGTATATTAATTTACTTAATCTTCAGCACAATCTTATGAAGCAGATATTACTATTATTGTCCCATTTTACCGATGAGGAAACCGAGGCACTACGGCACAGAGAGATTAAAGTAATTTGCCTAAGGACACACAACTAATAAAGTGGCTCTATTATTCTGTTACTGTACTGCAAACTGATAAGAATGCATTTTCAACACACCTACCTCACTGAGATATCCAAATGAGTACTGCCATTCAAAGTAATCACCATGGGAATCTATACTTGTGTAATGAAGATACTACTAGCTCCCAAAACATTTTTAGAACAGTCATGCTGAAACTGTCCTCAGAATTATTTTAGGAATAACTTCTTTAAAGTAAGCCTCATTATCTATAACCAGAGTTCTTATACATCATCAAGAATCTTAAGTTAATTCACCACCTCACTTCCTTGGAACAAAGATACACATAAACCATTTCATAAATGTAGTTGTTGACTTAAAAAAAAAACCTCCATTCAAAAATTAATTAATCAGACTGTGCCAGAACTGTGCAGAGCACACAAGACAAGTAAGATCCAGTCTCTGTCCTCAATAATAAGCATATACCTTTTCACGGAAAAAAAATACAAATAATAACATGTATCTCACCCACAGGGCATCTAATGTGAGCTTTTAAAAATAAGTTTCCTTCAACGTTTCCTTTAGTTATACATGGGGTCACCTGGAGTTGGAGCCCAGTCTATAGCAACTATCTAATTCTTGCAACATTCTTTCAATAATATAGTGAGAAGCTATTGGCAACTAGCTACTGAGGAAGTTCCTGTGACTTTTATTTCATAGCAAGGAGAAGTGAGACACAGAAAAACAAGTTACTTTTCCAGAGAGCACAGGGAAATGACTACCTCCACTCTTCCCCTTCAGTTTAGAGATGAAATCCCTATTTATATAAAGATACAAAGAGTATCCCCTCATAGAATTTCCACATCTCTCATTTTTTATCTACAGTAATGTAGCTTCGGACAACTACATTCCCAAAAGATCTCACATCCAAAGCCATTAAACACTTTTATTTAAATGTTAAAAGAATGGTTAAAAGTCTGGTGCAACATAATACCTGCAACATTACCTGTTTGAAAAGAGGTAGAGATATTGGCTCAGTTGATAAAAGTGAAACTTCTTTTCCTAACATTTATTACATCTGTTTTCCGGAGTCTATTCTTTTATTGATAAGTATAAATGCATTAAAAAATATCTGCCATTTCAACATTTTTTTACACGTACAATTCAGTGACATTAATTACGTTCATCATGTTGTGCAACCATCACCATTACCCATTTCCAATTTTTTCCATCCCCCTTATCAGAAGCTCAGTGCTCTCTAAGCAAAGACTACTCATTCATCATTCTAGGTTTTCATAAACCACTAACAAAAAAAAATGAAAGAGATAATCTGAAAGGAACTGGTGAGGCATGAAAAACATCCCTTGAAATGTTTTTTATACCATGCAACCTTGTGATAAAACAAAAGAGTATGATCTGCAAGGTCTGAGGTGGTATTAGTTCTCTGTGGGTACTGCTAGCATTGGATTCAGTTTCACTTCAAACCAGTTTTTTGGTTGATATTGACCTTTGTTCACTGGAACATGAACTGAACACCAAATTGCACACTTCTTAAAAAGTCTCATGAATAAAAAAGTTTGGAGGATATATTCTCATTTGAGATTTGGATGAGAGGCACAGAACTTTGTATACTCCAAGAAAAACAAATTTTTTTTTAAAGCACAATTTCAGAGAATTCAACACTGCCCTAAAACTTGTCTATGGATATCTATGGAATCCATAGAGACCACATTAACAGCCTCCACTTTCAAGATGTACAGATGGCCACAAACTGGTTCTGCCTAAGAGGAATTAACTTTACCAGTATCTTTGTTGGAGCACTGGAGGTGTACTGGTTAAGAGCTCAGTTGCTAACCAAAAGGTCAGCAGTTCAAATCCACCAGCCACTCCTTGGAAACCCTATGGTGCAGTTCTACTCTGTCCTATAGGGTCGCTATGAGTTGGAACCTACTCAACAGCACGAATCAGTGACAATATCTTTGTTAATACATGATCAATTTTTTCCCCACCACTATGCTAATTAGATGATGCTTTAGAAGCAGTTCCATTCTACCTCAGTGCTAAAGTCTAAAAAATGCTAGGCTATATTTATTAATAAATAATTATTAATAGCAATTGCTAAGGTCATTAATAAAATAATATCACAATAAATGCACTAAATTATACCACTGCAAAATTTGTTTAGAAAGTATGTAGGTACTGTTGAAGGAAAAAACCTACTGAGAAAACTGCAAAAGAGCAAAAGAAAGCCAGGTGCTTTGCAGCTGCAATGGTTCCAGGTATACTAATTGGATATCTTTCAGAAGCAGGGACACATCACTTTTTTGGCAATAACTCAGAAAGCAAGGTGTTTCACCATGAGAAAACTCTGACTTCAACAGACTATCACAATGTGTTTGGGCAGTGATTTCTACATATCATAAATTAAGGCCAGCTTCTTTTGAGCAATAAAAATAAATTATTAAAAATAAGTAGGTAGCAATTAAATAGAACTATTAGTCACTGACTAAGCTATGATCCAACCTTCCTTATCTTGATTTACCTAGTATTTGGACATAATTATTTCTTACCTCCTCCAACCTGTTATTGGGTGGGTCAGCTTTTCAGGGCAGCATGCTGTTGAAATTGCAGCAAATGGCCATGCTAGTAGTAAAATTAATGCAACCAATAAGGCACGGATTGGAAGCAGGATAATTCCAAGAAGGAAAATCTGAAAGTCAAAGTTGACAAAACAGTGAATGGACAATATTTTAATGCTGTAGCTATGAAACAGAAACACATGAGAGGAAAGTTTTATGCTCTTCATGCATAAAACAAGGATGAATTGAGCACTATCCTGTGCCAGACAGGGACCTAAGCACTAAAGATACAAAGAAAATAGGACACTATCTTTGACCCCACAGAGTCTACTACATGGAAACAGTGAAGAAAACCAACCACTATAAGATAACTTGATTTGTATTTGATAGAAGTGAACAGAGGAGGCTAGAGGAACAAAGAAAAGGAATGTCTGACTTAGCAGTCAGGGAACTCTTCCTGGAGGAGTTGAAACCTGAACAGCCCTGAAAGACAAGCAGAGCTAGCAAGGTAGAAGACAGAAACTATTGTTTGAGAGCCATAGATAGAAGGAAAGGTGTTAATAAAGGCATTAGTTTATAAAGAAGTAAATGGATTATTTTATATACTTGCCAGTCCTTTATAACTAATAACCATAAGGAGATGTAGGAGGAGGAAAAAAAAAACCCCCAAAACTAAGAATAAGAATGAAAACTAACTAAATAAGAACGTTGTTGTTGGTTGCCAACAAGCTGATTCTGACTAACGGTGAGCTCACGTGTGTAGAGTAGAACTGCTCCATAGGGTTTTCAATGGTGGGTGACCTTTCTTGATGAGCAGTAACTTATTTAATTCTACAACCTTAAATTGTTTTACATACAAGAAAGGAGTGGCACAGAGGGAGTTAAATTAAATTGCACAAGATCACACAGTGAGTGAGTGGCGAACCAGGATTTGAACCCAGTTTGCTTACAAAGCCCTTGCTCTTAATCCCTATTTTAAATGCCTTTTAAGTGAAATAAACTGTCCTTATGTATAACAAATTGACTTTTTTTCTATAATCCAATTACACTATTCAACAGTGCCATTCTTCTATTGTATCTATTGGCCCTTAATATGAACCTGAGCATCATTAAATAATTTACGAGAAATGTCAAAAACATTCTAGTTATGTGATCTCTGTCATATGTGCATACGTTTGAGCTAAAAATTACACACAAGAAAATGTTCAGATCTTAAGTGTACAATTCAATGAGATCTGATAAATGCATACTCATGTAATCACCACCCAATCAAGATAAAGAACGTATCCACCACCCCAGTGAGGCACTTTGTACCCTTTCTAGTCAATCCCTACCTGCTTAGGTGTTTCTCTTAAGTAAATACCTAGGAGTGGAATTGCTGGGTAACAGATGTAGTTTAAATTTATAAGAAACTGCCACATAGTTTTCCATAGTGGTTTTATCATTTTAAATTTCCACTGGCCATGTATGAGAATTTCAGTTGCACTACATCCTTTCCAACATTTGGTGTTCGCAGTCTTTTCAAAAAATCGACTTTATTAAAGTATAATTTACATAAAATAAAATACATCCATTTTAACTGTATATATTACGAGTTTTGCAAATGCATACCCACCACAATCAAGATATCAAGACTTCCACCACTACAAAAGGTTCCTTTGTGACCCTCTGCAGTCAATAGTCCCTCCTGGGCCCTAGGCAGCTACTGATAGGTATATTCTTTCACATTGTTCTAGATTTTCATATAAATGAAATCATACAGTATGTCTCTTTTATGTCTGGCTTCTTTTACTTCATATTTTTGAGATTCAACCAGGTGTTGTTTCATTTTATGAATATATTACAATCTTTAATCCATTCATCTGTCCATGGACATTTGGCCTATTATCAGGTTTTAGCTATTATGAACATTAACGTTCAAGTCTTTGCCTGGACATATGTTTTCACTTCACTGGGAGTGAAATTGTTGGGTTATAGGGTAGCTGTATGCTTGACTTTATAAGAAACTGCGAAACTGTTTTCCAAAGTGATTGTATCATTTTACATTCCCACCAACAATGTACAAGAGTTCCTGTTCCTCCACATTCTCACCAACATGTTGTCAGTCTTTTTAATTTTAGCCTTTCAAGTGGATGTAAAATGATATCTCACTGCAGCTTTAATTCATATTTCCCTGATGAATGATAATGTTCAGCACATTTGTCATATGCTTATTGGTCATTTCTTTACTTCTTAGGTGAACTGCCTGTTCAAGGCCCACTTGTATTGGGTTATTTGTCATTTTTCTTAAAGATTTCTAAGAGTTTTTTACATATTCAATATGTAAGTGCTTTGTCAGTATATGTATTGAAAATATTTTCCCCTATTTTGTGGTTTGCCTTTTCATTTTCTTAATAGTATCCTTTGATGAGAGGAATTTTAATTCTGATAAAGTCTAACTCGTCTATTTTTAATTTATGTTTAGTTATTTTCTGTGTCCTCCCTAAGAAATCTTTACCTACCCCAAGGTCATAAAGATATTCTATATTTTCTTCTAGAGCTGTACAGTTTTAGCTTTTATGTTTTAGCCTATGATCCATCTTAAATTATTTTCTATATGTAGTGTGCAGTAGGGATAAAAGCTCATTTTTATCCATACATTTATCCAATTGTTCCAGCATCATTTGTTGAAATACTTGATATTCCCCCAATGACTTGTCTTGGCAACTTTCTCAAAATCAACTGAACAAACAAACAAGTTTTTCTGTGGATATATGCTTTCAATTCTATTGATTATACACCAAGCAGTGGAATTGCGAGGACATATGGTAATTCTATGTTTAACTTTTTTTTTTAACTATGGTAAATATATAGGTAATAAAATATTTGCCATTTCTATAACCTTCACATGTACAACTCAGGGACATTAATTATTTTGATCATGTTGTTCAACTATCACCATTAACCATTCTTGAATTTTTCCATCAGCCTTAACAGAAGTTCAGTGTCCCCTAAGCATTGTGAGCGTGAAGTAGTAGTTGTGATTTTGATTTGCATTTTCCTATTGATTAGTGATGTTCAGCATCTATTCATGTGCTTATTGGCCATTTGTAAATCTGCTTTGGAGAAATGTTTATTCAATTCCTTTGCCCATTTTTTAATCGGATTGTCTTTGTATTGATGAGTTCTTCATATTTTCTGATACCAGATCCATGTCAGATGCATGACTTACAAATATTTTCTCCCATTCTATAGGTTGTCTATTCACTTTTTTGTAGTGTACTTTGAAACACAGATGTTTTTACTTTTGGATGAACTTTAATTTATCTATTCTTTCTTTGACTGCTTGTGCTTTTCATGTCTAAGAAACAATTGCCTGATCCAAGGTCACAAAGATTTACACATATGTTCTTTTCTAAGAGTTGCAGAGTTTTAATTCTTAGATTTAGGTCTTGGATACATTTTGGGTTAATTTTGTTGTATGGTCTGAGATAAGGATCGAACTTCATTCTTTTTCAAGTGTCTATCTGGTTGTTCCAGTACCATTTGTTGAAAACACTATTATTTACCCCATTGTTTTGGGATTCTTGTCAAAAATCAATTGGTCATGTTGTTGTTGTTAGATGCCGTTAAGTCGGTTCTGACTCATAGCGACCCTATGTACAACAGAACGAAACTGCTCAGTCCTGCACCATCCTCACAATCAGTGTTATGCTCCAGACAACTGTTGCAGCCACTGTGTCAATCCGTCTCAGTGAGGATCTTCTCCTTTTTCGCTGACCCTCTACATTACTAAGAATTATGTTCTTCTCCAGGGACTAGTCCCTCCTGATAACATGCCCAAAGTATGTGAGATGGGAAGTCTAGCCATCCTCGCTTCCAAGGAGCACTCTGGCTATACTTCCTCCAAGACAGATTTGTTTGTTCTTCTGGCAATCCATGGTATAGTCAATACTCTTCACCAACACCATAATTCAAAGGCATCAATTCTTCTTCAATCTTCCTTATTAATTATCCAGCTTTCACATGAATATGAGGCGACTGAAAATACCATGGCTTGGGTCAGGTGAACTTTAGTCCTCAAAGTGATATCTTTGCTTTTCACACTTTAAACAGGTCTTTTGCAGCAGATCTGCCCAATGCAATACATCCTCTGATTCCTTGACTGATGCTTCCATGGGTGTTGATTGTGGATCCAAGCAAAATGAAATCCTTGACAACTTCAATATTTTCTCCATTTATCATGATATTGCTTATGGGTCCAGTTGTGAGGATTTTTGTTTCTTTATGTTGAGGTGTAATCCATACTGAAGGCTGCGGTCTTTGATCTTCATCAGTAAGTGTTTCAAGTCCTCTTCACAGCAAGGTTGTGTCATCTGCATATCGCAGGTCGTTAATGGGTCTTCCGCCAATCCTGATGCCACATTCCTCTTTATATACTCAAGCTTCTCAGATTATTTGCTCAGCATACAGATTGAATAAGTATGGTGAAAGGATACAACCCAGACGCACACATTTCCTGATATTAAACCATGCAGTATTCCCTTGTTCTGTTCAAACGACTGCCTCTTGTCTATGTACAGGTTCCTCATGGGCACAATTGAGTGTTCTGGAATTCCCATTCTTCACAATGTTGTCCTTAATTTGTTATGATCCACACAGTCGAATGCCTTTGCATAGCCAATAAAACACAGGTAAATATCTTTCTGGTATTCTCTGTTTGCAGCCAAGATTCATCTAACATCAGCAATGATATCCCTTGTTCCATGTCCTCTTCTGAATCCAGCTTGAATTTCTGACAGTGTCCTGTCAACATACTGCTGAAACTGTTTTTGAATGATCTGCAAAATTTTACTTGTGTGTGATATTAATGATATTGTTCGATATTTCTGCATTCTGTTGGATCACCTTTCTTTGGAATGGGCACAGATATGGATCTCTTCTAGTCAGTTGACCAGGTAGCTGTCTTCCAAATTCTGGGCATAGATGAGCGAGCACCTCCAGCGCTGCACCCATTTGTTGAAACATCTCAGTTGGTATTCTGTCAATTCCTGGAGCCTTGTTTTTTGCCAATGTCTTCAGTGTAGCTTGGACTTCTTCTTTAAATACCGTTGGTTCTTGATCATATGCTACCTCCTGAAATGGTTGATCATCATCCAATTCTTTGTGATACAATGACTCTGTGTATTCCTTCTATCCTCTTTTGATGCTTCCTGCATCATTCAATATTTTGCCCATAGAATCCTTCAGTGTGGCAACTTGAGGCTTGAATTTTTTCTTCAGTTTTTTTCAGTTTGAGAAATGCCAAGCGTGTACTTCCCTTTTGGTTTTCTAACTCCAGGTCTTTGCACATTTCATTATAAAACCTTACTTTGTCTTCTCAAATCATCCTTTGAGATCTTCTGTTCAGCTATTTTACTTCATTTCCTCCAGTCGCTTTTGCTACTCCATGTTCAAGAGCAAGTTGGTCATAGATGGGTTTATTTCTTGACTCCCAATTCTATCCCATTCATTGAGAAATATAGATACTCCAGTACCTTATACCTGTACCACGCAGTCTTGATTACTGCAACTTTATAGTAAGTTTTAAAATTTGGAAGTGTGAGTCCTCTAACTTTGTTTTTCTTTTACAAGTTCATTTTTGGCAATTCTGGTTAGCTTAGTAGTCGGCTGATGATTAAGTAGATATTTCCTTCAGTGCCTGAAGCCAATAAGTCTCCTAGTGTTTGCCAAGGGTCTCTATGTGCATGTTGAGATATGTCTTCAACATTCAGCTAAGTAGCAGTTCACAGCTCTGTCTTAGCCTTCAGTTCCTACTTGCACAAAGCTTCAAGATTAGCCAGAGGTGAGAACTTAGCGTAGTCTCACATCTTTCCTGGGCATGTGATAACCTCGAGCACGCACACAGCCCTATACGTGCATATGGCCTTCTAGAGTCCCAGGAATAAGTCAACCCTTTTCAAAATCTCCTATGGACATCTTATTCCCAAGCTTTTCCTCTGAAGCTTTTTGCTTACTCTACTGTTGGCTCCAGCAGTTATTCACTGCCTCAGCAGCTGTGATATTAAGCAATTCTAATTGTTTTTTTTACAGAAAAAAAGCTGTTTGCATATGGTGAGCTCCAAGACAGGTCAAATAAAGACATCCTTGCAAGTGGGGTCTTCCAGGGAGCTGCCAGATAGGTCAAATAATGACAATTCTCTGTAAATGGGTTTTGAAGGAGCTCCAACTCTGCTCTGCCCCCTCTAGTAGCTGGGTTTCACTGTGATTGCAGACTGTTGGTTTTCAAGGCTACTGCAGAGCTGGGAATTGGAAGGATGAGAATAGGGCATATTAAAATGCCACAAATCTTGCTGTTTTTACCAAAATTCAGCACTTCTTCTTGAATAAATGCTCCCTAGATTGCTTCAAGCTTTTGGTTGATGTTCAGAGTTCTGACAAATTTGATTCCTATAATTTTTTGCCAGTGTTCGCATAATTTTCATGGAGGAGATGATTTTTAGAGGTCCATCTCCATTTCTTTCTGCTTTTTAGATTGTATAATTTCTGATGATCTATTCTTAGGTTCACTGATCCTTTCTTCTGCCATCTCCAATGTGCTACTAAGCCCATCTGGTGACTTATTTATTCCATATGTAATAATTTTCAGTTTTATAATTTCCATTTGGTTCTTCTTTACAGTTTCTATTTCTCTGTTAAAATCACCCAAACTATTCACTCATTTTGACATTCTTTTCCTGTAACTCCTTCAGTATATTTATAATAGCTGCTTTAAAATTCTTATGTGCATATTCCAACATAGGGGTCTTTTCAGGGTCTGTTTTTATTGACTGTTTTTCTCTTGACCATAGGTCACACTTTCCTATTTCTTTGCATGTTTATTAATTTTTGTAATACATTGGCCATTTTGAACGATAAATTGCAAATATTCTAGACTGTTATCTTCTTCTGAAGAGTGTTGATTTTTGTCCTTTGTTGTTGTTAGTTTGCCACTGAGTCGGTTCTGACTCATGGTGACTGTTATGGATTGAATTATGTCTCTCAAAAATGTGCGTCAACTATAGATAAGTAGTAACTTTGGTGAAGGGTAAGACAGTACACAATACTGGGGAAGCCAGCACACCTTGTACAAGGAAAGGTCATGGAAGCTCCATAGACACATCCAAACTTCCTGAGGGACTGAATTGCTGGGTGGGGGGCTGTGGAGACCATGGTCTCAGGGAACATCTAGCTTAATTGGCATAATACAGTTTATAAAGACAATGTTCTACATTCTACCTTGGTGAGTAGCGTCTGAGGTCTTAAAAGCCTGTGAGCAGCCATTAAGATATTCCACTGGTCTCACCCCTTCGGGAGCAAGGAGGATGAAGAAAACACAATACAAGGGAAAGATTAGTCCAAAGGACTAATGGACCACAACCAGCACAGCCTCCACAAGACTAGTCCAGTACAACTAGATGGTGCCTGGCTACCACCACTGACTGCTCTGACCGGGATCA